AGAGATTTTTCTAGGTGGTGCTTATGCTTGCCCAAGAGATGGAAAGACAGAAAGCAAGAAATCACTCCCAGCAAAGGGATTGCTGCATCGCAGTCCCTTCTCCTCCATTCTCCTCTCAGGATTTGGAGCATGCATGCACATGCACCCAGTGTGAGTTTCAAACTGCCTGGTCCAGGACTCAAACCGTGGTCAGTCATATGGGATTCCAGCAATGTAACCACCACGCCATATGCTGTAGTCCACCCCACGCTTTAGCCAGCCCCAGAACACAGGCACATGCATGCCTGGTGTACTCAGGGAGGGTCTCTGGACTTGAATCAGGAACTCCACATGAGATTGCCTTTAGAGCCTGGCATTTTACTGCTGAGCCATGTGGCCTCTTCATTCCATCCTTCCATGAACTGTTGAAGTACCCTGGTATTTGTTGGACTGCATTGAATATATAGCATATCTAAGTGAGACAGATAAGGGATTGCAATGTGGCCCTCCCCACTGGGAGTGATTTCTTGCCTTCTGTCTTTCTGTCCCTCTTGGTGGTTAAATGACTAGTACTTCTATTTTCTTGTGGAGGTATATAGAAAAGCACAGTACAGGTAGAAAACTGGATTACATTAGAGATACAATTACAGTTTTAGAGAAAGGTGAGCGATCATTGGGACCAGACAGTGGCTCAGTAGTAAAACGTGATGCTGAACAAGGCAGACCCACCTCAAAAGGTGCAGGTGCACAGCTGGAGACTACCCAGGCACACCAGCATGTGTGTGCCCCTGATCCCAGTTGACTGAAGTTAGGTGTGGACTGAGGCTTCAGGAGCCTGTTGGGATGCTGTATCTCTGTCTCTCTGTCTCTTTCGTGCATGGAATTAAATTAACTTTTTTTGGGGGGGGGGACATGCGCTTGCCAGAGAGACAGAAAGTGAGAAATCACCCCCAGAGGGGATGGTCACGCTGAAATCTCTTCTCCTCCATTCTTTTCTTGGGATCTTGGGCACACACACACATGCACCCTGTGTGAGTTTAAGCCACTGGGTCCAGGACTCGAACCGCAGTCGACTACATGGGAGTCCAGCGACGTAGTTATTACACCAACTGCTGGTCCCAGAATTACATGAACTTAAAAAAAAAAAAAAATCGTTAACTGCTCTTCTACCAAATCAAATAAAAATAAAATTAAAGGGGGCCGGCAGGTGGCATGGTGGTTAAAGGTGCTGGGCTCCCACATGGCCAACCGTGATTCTAGTTCTGAACTGGCAGCTTGCTTTCTCACTTTTTCTCTCTCTCTGTCCCTCTCTGATCAAATAATAAAGTTAAATAAGAATAAATATTTTTTAAAAACTATAAAAAAAGTTAAAGAAAAATTAAAAACCTCACTTTATAAAATTTCATCATAAAGAGTTAAAAAAACATGGGACCAGCAGATGACGTAGTAGGTAATGTTGCTGGACTCCCACATGGCCGACCGTGGTTCAAGTCCTGGACCCAGCAACTTGAAACTTACGCCGGGTGTGTGTGCGTACATGCCCAAATCCTGTGAGGAGACTGAAGGAGAAGGGATTGTGGCGTGACTATCCCTCCTAGTGAGTGATTTCTCTTTCTGTCTCTCTGGTGAGCGAATGTGTCCTATAGCAAAAATCTCTCTTAAAAACAAAGATGGGGGAACCAGCAGTTAGCGTAATGGCTATGTCGCTGGACTCCCACATAGTCGACCTGGGGGGGGTTGGTCACGCCGCAATTCCTTCTCCTCCATCCTCCATTCTCCTCTCGGGATCTTGGGCACGCACGCACATGCACCCGTTGCGTTTACTGAGTTTTGTACACATCAAAGGGAAAAATACTCCAGTAGCAAAGCAGGCACTGGATAAGAATAGACTGTTCAGAACCGATGGGCTTGAAAAGACAGACACCTGGAATCTCTACCCTTGCTGAGAGAGCAAGGAAGAAGATGTCCTCGATCCTGTTTTCATTTACTAGAACTACTTGTCAATTCCCTTCAGGATCAGAAAATTAAGAACCTGGAACTGGCAAACTAGAAGACATTTGGTGGA